ATTATCTATAATGGAATACCAATGTCACTTGAAAATCTCGTATAACTACTCCACAAAATAACTATCTGCTCCTATTACATAATCTTCAATTATTTCAACGCGGTATTATATATTCAATTGAAGTATTGATAGTCAAGGACTGGACGTCCATAAACGTTTGATTTTCTCCCTCTCTCCAGCTTTGACGGATCCTCCCCTCCCTATATCTGAAAGTTCTGTATGAATGATGCTTAACTATCTTGTTCATAAACTCACCTCATTCATAATATTCTCTATTTAATACTAGCATCTTTTATCTATTATTTAAAAGTATTGCTCGTATTTACTAAAAAAAAAGTCTATTAATTTATAATATTTTTTAATCAATAATACAATAAAGAATATTTGATATCGTATGCATTACTTCAGATATGTTAATTTTCTTCTGAAGTTCACCTCGGAGACTGGTGTGTTGCATTTCGTTAAAAAAAGTAAATTAGATTTCTAAAAATAAACAGAAAGATCTGAAAGTGTTCATGACTTCTTTAGTGTATGATAAAAGTCTCGATAATGATTAAATCAATTATACTAATTCTCGCATCATCCAATTTAAGATAAAAATTGATGTATGCCAAATGAAAGCTACATTTGGTATTGAAAAAATGGACATAAAGCTGTCAATACCATGTGTATTTTCTTATCTACTATTCTAATTTGCTTCATTTGACTCTTTTTGTAGTCGTTTCATCGATGTCAGTTGTTACACCGTTGCTTAGTCCCTAATGATTTTATCTTTTTGTCATACAATATGTTGAATGTTCTCATTTATAGGATTCTGACGTTTCTATCACCAATAGTTCTGTTTGTTTATCATTGATTAGATTTGCTTATAGTAATCACTCAGTCAATTAGATGATGTTAACATGCTTTTCAAGAGTCGTGGGGCTATAAATGAAACATTATCTAATATGACATCTTAACTGTCAATCTGATTCGAATACTACTTTTTAGACAAGAAACATATGAAAAAAAATATATATAAAATCATTACTTCACCTTCATTTACATTTATGTCATTCCCATTAAATTATATCGATCATAAACAACTCAAAATGGCTTATCATAACTTCGATCAAATTTATATTTATAATGTGCATGTAGTTGGTTGTTTTTCATGTTTTTACAAGTTCAAATCCGAATTGATTGGTCTTTTATTTTATTTAAACTCTAATCCTTGAAATGTCTTGTATTCATTGTTATTTAGATAACTAAATTTTAACTTGTTCTTCTTATATTTTGTTATTTGCGTAAACTTTTATCGTTTGAGATATTTGATATAGAACAATTGACGTCATTTTTAATAAAACAAAACAAAACAAAATATGAAGAAATTTTACTCTAGAGGTTGAATATAAATGAAATGAATTTCAACAAGACTGTATTTTCATATTAGCATTGTAATTTATCTTTAATGATATCACATTAGACAGGCTTTATATACATTAACTAAACTGTTTCGTAATATTTTTCATCCGTATAGCATAGAATTGCTTCTAAGAATAATTGCACTTAACATTAGAATAACAAAAGTATGGTTATATGTAATATATCATCAAAAAGAGCTAGTTAATAGAATTCAACTTTTCATTATGACATTATTCAAGTTATTTCAAAACAACTATCAAGAACTTTATATTTGATATTTATAATTACTTGCTTCGAAAAAAAAAAACAAACTATTTGATTATCGATGAAACAATACCGCCATCATTCTTTGTGAAAGCGAAATATATAATCTCTCATTGTTCGATTCAGTATACATCTTTGTTTGAATAAAGAATCAGAATCTTCTTTTTTGATTGATATCAAAGTCTATAATAGTAATCACGATACTTCTTCAAAACAACATAGCTAATTGTTTAATCTACAACATGATACATGTGTAGAATATCAATAGACTATAACTATAAAATAGATTGTTAAGAAAGTTAATAAGCAATTCATCTTGTTTTACTGTGAATGTTTTTTATTGTACTCAAGAAAAAAGAAAAAAAAAAAAAACAATTTTTTTTTGATAATGAGCAGTAGTTGAAGCTCTACTATATGCCTTGGATTCATGGTCATTTCATTTTTGGTATACTAATTTTCAATGTTATGAAATAATATCAACGAATGATTACTACTCTGTTTTTCCGTTTTTTTTTATGATCATTATAATTATGACTAGCAATATTCATAATCGAATGCAACCTTGAATATAGACTACACGATTAATGTGACTGTCAACTGGGAAAAAAACGGAGTGATGATTATGTTGAGATATGAGCCAATCGTATATGAATTTTCTAGTGTTTTGGCAGTTCAAGGTTCAGATTCAGCTGAATAGTGTCTATTGATAACGATTAACATCATTCGTTTTATCATCTTTTCAGAGGTGCATACATTCTCTTATTCGACCTCCACTGTCGCCCTATATGCATTCATGTCCTCGTGGATCGATGGATACATTAGTGATAAAAAGAAAAAACGAAGCGAAAATCGATTAATGGTTATACTTCTATAATGAAACCCACAAATATTAGCATTATTACGCATCGTTTTTCAATGCTCAAATCAAGTTACATTAATCAATCAGATATATCCTCTGTACATACCAATGTATTTTAAATTGATTCATACCACCTCCTATTTACAATACATATATGTATATGTATGCATACATACGTTTATACATGTATACGTTTGTATTTACCTCTTCAATGTATGGTTCATCCTTCAACGCTCTTCTATAATCAACTAAGCAATATAATAAAATATCTATTTCATAGTAGGAAGAAGCAATCAATAAGAGCAGAGAAAAACGAAAGAAAAAAAAAAAGAAACAAATAAAACTGATTGCCTGTAACAAAATTTCAGACGCTATCGGCTATCGTTTTTCATCGGATGTCACAGGTACTGACTTAGGCAGATGATGTACACACATCTTTATTCTCTTACTACTAATAAAAAAATCTAAAGACAATGATACGTAGACAATGAATACCGTTGGCCATATTACAGTAAGTATGAAAGTGTCGACTGTCACTCATATATAAACATATATTATGTAAGAGAAGGTAGGAGCAGCTATTGCTATTCTATCTCATCATCTCTGTTTGAATGTGGTTTAAATCTTCGTCATCCCCTACTTCATACATATATTCCTACATGACTTGCCTCTTTCGGCTTAGATGACAATCATATGTTTTTTTTTGTGTGCATGAATGTATATGTATATGAGTACTTATGTATTATACAGAAGTAGAAGTATGGCGATGAAAATTGAGCGACCCGTTTGCCAGTAATGTCGACCTCGATATACTTATTATATGAGAACCGTTCGAGTAGAAAAAGGCAAACAGGCCAACAAACAGAACGTTTATGTAACAATTGTTTCCTCTTTTGTTGTTGTTACTGTTGCTGGTCGATTTGAGTTTTCACTCGCTTGATCATAATGGTGAGACAAATAACGACGACAATACCTTGTTGCTTATGCTATTAAACAAACAGGCAAAGTGGGTCCTTTTAGTTGTATGTCTACTATTGCCTCGTTTTTTTTTCCTTTTTCTCTTTGTTGGACATTATGTCATGTATACGTGAGTGTCATTTTCTCTCTTACACTCTTTCTTTCATATATTGATTATGACAAAATGGTCAGTTGCTGATAATATTACTTAGAATTGACTGTTGTTTTGAAGAAGATATGAGTAATGATTCAGTTACTTTACATATCGGCGATAATGAGTATGTACTTGACAGATATTTGTATCTAATGAATTTCTCTTTTCTCTATCTCTATGTACTAAGTATAGAATGTCCATATACATGACCTTCACTAACGTCTAATTTAATTTATTAGAAATGAAAAAGATAAGTAATTTCATGCTAAAATAGATACCTTTGATTTTTTTTTTTCAAACATACAGACTACTTTTCAAGATGCATAAAGAGCTTAGACAGACAGGTAGACAGCTGTGTATACTGTTTCTTCTATCATACGCTTAATCTATTCATAATACGTAATAAGACTCTGTTTGTAAATGAGTATATCGTACCATAAATAATAAGTCGTTTATACGTAGGGTATATTGAACAACATTAGGAGAAAAGAAAAAGAAAGACACTACTAATACTTCATTCATCTCGGACTAAACATAAGTATAATGATAATAGATTAACTGAAATTGATCGAATTAAGATTAATAATAATTATATAAAATACATTTGAGATAAACAAAAAAATTGATGTATAGATTACTCTCATTTTTTTGACGTTTGTCCGCCGCTGGGTGCCTATTTTGATAATGTTACACGAAGCTAGAATAACAACGTGAGGATGACATCAATGCCATCACTAGTACCATCGTTGTCGTTGTAAATAGATGACAACGATCATGAGGATAATGAAGATGAATGTATCCATCTAAAGAGAAACAAGCAAAAAAAAAATAACCGATGGAAAAAGACAAACGTTTGATATATTCATTCTCTGTAGACGATGTCTACAAGAACCGTATTCTTATATTTTATGTTATTAATTGAGATCAGTATCTCACTATCTATTAATATTAATTATCAACAAAAGACAACATAAATTGTCTTTTGTTTTTACATATAATATTCCAAAAGCAAATCCAAAAAAAAAAAAGATATTTCATTTGAAAATCTTTTCTTGAATAAACACATTATCTTGTGCTTATCAGGTAGACAGATTGGTTTTTTAGCTTATTTCGCTTTTTTTTGTTGTTTTTCTCATCATCTTTCTAATGTTGTCGCATTAGCCATTAGTTTCCTTGTTTTTGCTTGTCTCTTTTGTTTATTTATTAATGTACCGATATGCTCTAGCTAACTGCACGTATGTGAAATGATTTCAATTATTTATTCCTCTTACTTCGATAAACCAAAAAAAAAAGAAAAGAAATACATTTTTTTTTTATAGTTTTTTTGTCGTTTGGTTTTTTTAAATATTGAACAATAAAAGAATGCGATTCTCAAAAAGTGAATCTGACAATACAACATTATTAATTAATGAACATGAGACAACAACGTCTCCGATATCCTCATTGTCGCATAAAACTCATCATTCGTCTATTCAATGTCATACCCTACGAGAAGATCATATGCCGAATTCTAAAGATAAATCATCACCATCTTCAGAATATATTTATACTGAAATTGTTAAAGCAATTGGAAATAATGAATTTATTCAAGAAAAACGTTTACTTAAACGAGCTAGTTGGAGTCCAGGTGTCCATCAAGAACATGGTTTACCACCAACTGGAAAACATACCGATAGTGAACAATTAACAACGCATAAAAATTCTAATCGAGTACGTATACGACCAACAGTAACTAGATATTTTCAACCACAACAAAATTCACATTATCATCAAATGTCTTTCGGACGACCTGTTTCATTAAATGAAGGACACGATCGTCATTCAATTGATCCTCAATCAAGAAAACTTTCAAAATCATCTTTAGTAAGTTATCTAATATAAGTCAAATTTACACGTATCTGTTTGTTTTTCCTCATTTTTTCTTTTCGTAAACTATATTAAAAATTAATACAGTTGTCTGCCAGAGTTCATTCTTTTTCTGATTGAAAGGGAGAAGGTTGAACTTCAAAAAACAAACATAGGAAAGAAAGTTTTTTTGCATTGACTTTGCATAAGAATTGTCAAAAATGTTCTTGTAACCTCTGCCCTCTTCAAACGTATCTTTTGTATTCAAATCTATTTGTTTCTCCATAACAGATTACGTTTGAAATTACCTAATTATGTAAACCGGAAGTGTTTTCATTACTCTTTCAAATGGAATTTGATAAATTTGAAAATCAAAACGTTTTACAAGTTTTTCATTAATTTCAACCGTATGACATCTGACTTGAGCAATACTTTCCAGATATTGAAAAAAAAAGAATTTCCTTCCTTTTTTTTTCAAACACATTTCCTGAAACAATATACCATTCTCTACGAATTCATATCAATTGTAATCTCTGAATAATGAATTTTTTCTCAATATCCTATCTTTCCTATGTAAAAATAGTGCTTTTTTTTCATCCAAACTAAGACGTACAATACGCCTCATTTACTCGTGAAGAATTATTGAGAAATTTTCTAAAGTATAAAAGTCGATAGAGTTTTGCAAGGACTACTTTATCATCTATTTGATTTTCAAGACAAATTTTTTCTTCAAATTCGAGAAAAAAATATTAAAAAAAAACGATATGTTGCAAGAACTCTTTTGATGATGTTTAACCTCAAACATTTTTTTTCACTTAAAACCTTATCACGGAAAAATTCTTTTCCTGTTGTTCTCGCGTTCGAACTTTCCGTAATATTTCTATACAAAGAACCATTGGTCGAGATTTTGCCAATTACTTTCGCATCGTATAACTTTCCGTGTAAATATTATATCAATATTACTAAAACATATCTGTGATTGACATAAATTTTTGGTAAACATATTATGTAGAAAATATTACAACGTAGTACTTTTTCTCGATTAAAAACTATTCATAAATCATTTTAACATAGTTTTGAAACATCCGAATGTTTTTATTTGAGGAAGAATGATGTCTTAATAATTTATTTTTATTTTTTACTTGTTTTATTAGAATCATAATAATAGTTTTTCACAAAAACGGTGTGAATCCTCAACTTCTCTCTCATCATCTTCAGTTGATACAATAGGACAAATTACTGAACGTAGATCACCTTCATATGACAATAGTGATTTCATGAGTGATACATCAACTGCATCATCAATAACAACGACAAATACACTAACATCTTTATGTTCAACTATTCCTTCTCACATGTCTCGACGAACAAGTCCCAATAGCGAGCGTATTCATTCATCAATAAAACGTCCATTATTAAGTGAATATCAACAACAAAATTTAACACCTGTTGATTACAAACTTTCCTCACCAGCTATTACTATTCGTTCAACGTCTCCAATTTCCTTACCTTCCTCTATTTCTACTTCTATAACTTCTTTTGCTCAACCAAAAGGTCATGAGCAGTCATTGTCATCTTCCAAAGGGTCATCACTAAATCAATATACAGAGTTTACTTCACAAACATTAGCTGCTGATACATCTCGAAACAACATTGGTCCTTCAACAACAATAACGACACGTAGTATAATGACTATGTCAATGTCACCTAATCGCCATCATAATCAAACGCGTTCAGCAAAGGCTATCATCACATCATCTCAAATATCGCCATCAACTAACGTCACAATCATGACAAACAATAGCGATGGATTAAAACAGCAACAGCAACGAGATCAATCAGAATTGTAAGTGAATTTCACATCAGTATGTCTATGTTTACTTTTTCTCTCTCATAAAATACCAATCAAAAACTGGTTGACAAGTGATTGTCAGTTCATTTTCTTCTTTTTTTTTTCTCTTTGTTATTTTTTCATTCTATTGAATTACTTCTCTATATATATATATATATTATAGAACAACGGTTTGTAGTAATGGTTGTTTAAAGTCACCGACAAATACAAATAATAATAATCGTATGAAAAAATCTGTTCATTTTGACTGGCATTTGCCTAAAGAAATTCGGTCACGTTCACCATCATCGGTCAATTTAGATTGCAATAGTAATTATCAGCAGACAGTTGCAATTGCGTCTTCATCTTCTTTGTCCAATGGTAATGGTAATAGCGGCGACAATGACGAACAAAAGAAACTATGCGATGATCAACGTGATGTCGAGACATCGAGAGAAAAAGAGAGAATTGAAACAACGATGAGGACAATCACTACTAACCCGCTGACCACTACTACCAATACAAGCACAATTCTTCATTCTTTTTCTCTTTCTCCATCACCGCTATCGAAAGAAGAGGGTAACGATAGCCGACCATATAGAGAAGAAAAAAAAGAAAATGTCGACGAGCCAAACTGCATTACTTCTCAACGAGTAACAACTGCTGCTACTCACCTTCATTGCACTACTACTACTGCTACAGTCACTTTCAATGACGGTAGCAACAACGTCTTGCAAAAAAAAGAATCGAATGGCACGAACAATTCCAATAAAAGTACGAATGACCTCTTCTCTTTCTCTTTTTTAATCAATCATTGAGTCGGTTTTTTTTTTTTTTTTTTAAGTCAAAGATTTATTAAAACGACAGTCACCATCAGTTGATAAACCTATGCCATTAAATAGTTTACTTGTGAAAACATCTTCACTTAATACAATTATTAATCCACAAATCCCACAACAATCATCATCATCATCAACAGCAAAAAAATTAATTAGTAATGGTTTTTTCAATTTTATTGGTCGTTCAAATAGCAGTAATAACAAGTCATCAACATCGACCGAAGAAAATAAACAATTGCGACGTACATCGTCCACTCAACTACGTGCTCAACGAAAGTCTAAACAACAGACGACATTAACAACAGGGACAAACGGAAATAAACGTCTTAGTGCGGATGTCGAATCTCTTCTTCCTGTATCTTCGATCAATAGCAATCATAATGAAATATCAAATAAAGATGAACATATATTTGACAAAGTTACAACAAATAATAATATTAATCGTGAACGACAATCATCAATTTCTCTTGTTTCAACATCGATAGACAACAATATCAATGGTACTAGTTCTTCTAACATCGGTAAGTATATGAACCAAGGTCAACGTGAAAGTTTACCATGATGACATGTTCGCATGTAAGGAGTAGGTGGAGTGTGTATTCCAAGGTTCTTTCATTTTTTTTTTTTTTTCTTCATCGCTTTTTCATAATATTCTCATTTAGAATCATCTATCCCACTGTGTACAAACACTAACGTCAATAATAGTTCATTATCAATGTCAACGAATTCTACAACGACAATCATTAAATCGGATGAAGGTGATTCGTTAAATAATGGTCTTCTTTTTCGACCGGTAACTGATCGAAAATGTGATTATGTTTTACATGATCATCAAACAATGAAAAAAGAACCATTCTTTTTATCACCACCTAAATTATTGTCTAATGGTGATGAATCTACAATGATGCAAACATCGACACTTATCATTTCGACGCCACCACAATATCATTATTATTTATATCCACCAATTGATAATACACATATATTATCATCATCATCTTCATCATCATCATCATCATCAATATCATCGAAAAAAAATTCAAAATTAATTTCAACAACAAATCGTACAATATCAAATGTTAGTATCAATAGTGTTAGTACAAGTTCATCTTCATCATATCGATCATATGAATCTCAAACACATGATAATGAATATCCACAATCAAGTCATACGGCTCTTAATGCTGAAGATGAAACAGCATCAAATTCAACTTATTCAATGACAAATCATAATAATAATAATAATAATAATAATAAAACACGTCAAAAGAAAGTTATTCAATCAGCATTAATTGATTGGAAAATGAAATCATCATCATCAGAAATAAATAACGATTCAACAACTACAACAAAACCTGTTATTTTATCTGATTCTGTACAAGCTTTTTGGCCTCCACCACCTTCACCATTGACATTAGATAAAGATTCTGGATTAATAACAACGTCATTAACAACTACTGAACAAGTAAGTCAATAAAAAAAAAAGAAAAAAGAAAAAGAAATCAAATCAAATAAATTTATTTTATTCTTTAAATGTTTTAGACTAAACAATCAGAATCAATACCCATACCAAATAATATTATTAGGTAACAAGTCATTTTTATTTCTTCAATAAATATTGAATTCTATTGTATAGAATTAATCAGAAACCTTATATGTTTTGTATAGAGTATATAATATGAATCTTTGTTTGTAGTTCGAGTTCCCACAATGATTCAATAAATGTTAATCATATTGATATATTATCAACGAAGGAGGAAATTGGATCTTATTCTGAACAACATACATTTACTAATGGTTGTCTAAGAAATGGTATGTTTTATTGACCTTGTATACATATTTCTTTTTCTCTTAATATATGTATATATATATAAATGCAAGAAAATAGAGTCTGTTCGGCCATTTTACTTATTATCATGTAATTATCTCAATGATGTTAATTGTTTTTGAAATGAAATATACCCTTGAGAGAAATGAAAAATTATTCGTTATCATTGTTCTGAATTATTTCTTTTTCATATTTCAGTTAGTTGTTTTCTTTCTTTTTTTTTTCCTATATGGTCTATAATGTATGCAAATCGAACAATTTTATTTCGTGTTTCAAATTATGATGCATATTATATTAATCAATATAGCAAACATTCAATATCTTATCGAATATATAATTCTATGACAATATATATGTGTATGTTTGAAAAAGAAAAAAAAAAACGAAAGAAATATGCGTTTATCTCCTTTTCTTCTTTCTTGAGCCAACAAAATCAGTTCTCTCTTTTCCTTTTTTTTTTTCTTCTTTCTCTTTTGTGTGAGAATGCGCATAGAATGAGAAGAACACATTTAATAAAGGCGTCATATTGAAGTATCGAAGTTTTATTCTTTATTCTTACTATTTAAACTTGACATGAGTAGATTTTTTTCAAATTTGCATATACTAATATCATTCATTATTTAACATATTCTATATGATTAGTTTTTATTTTATTATTTAGCAAGTGATACATCTTTAGAAGATACACAAGCATCATATACAGAACGTTTACGTGAAAAATCTCGTTCAATACCAATGAATGCAAATAATGATATGTATTCATATTTAACACGATCAATATCAAAAGATGCATTAAATGATTATAATTTACGTCCAAATACAAATTTAAATATAACAGAATTTTCTTTAGCAAACGAAAATATTTTAAAACCAAAATCAGCTGGTCAACAAATTCGTACAACACATATTATATCAAAACAACAAAGTGAAAATTCTGATAATGATTTTCGATCAAAACGAGAATTTTTTGAAAATCGTACATATACAGATAATACATCAATAAATTCTTCTTTATCATTGATTCCAACAAATATATTACCAACAAAACCCAAAATATATACTTTATCTCCAGCAAATCCACAAAATAATAATAATAATAATATTAATAATGTTTTACAACAAACAACAATAAATAATAATCCTCAACGTAATGTAACAAGGTAAAAATGATTTCCCTTCAATCTATTTTTCTTTTCATTGACAGAAAAAAAAAAAGGACAAGGATAGATTGTTGTATATACACTATCGACATTTGCATTGTTTGCAAATAGATTAGTAACAATAGTAAGAGCCATTTATACATAAAAGACATTGATGATAATGGTGATAATGATGATGATGACAGGTGGAAAAAGACGAACTGTGATCAGACATTAATTGACATACAGCAGGAAATAATTTCATTGATAGCAAAAGATACAACATTGAATTCGACATGTTTTATTGATCTTTTCTCAACATATAGGCCCTTGTATTCATACAAACATGTTAAGAATACTTGTCTTTGCCAAGGATATTTACTCATTGTCATTATATTAGTTGTATGAAAAGATATGGTAGAATAAGTAAAACAAATAAACATGTACGTTAATTAACCGCTCAAATACGTTCATTCAAGAGCTCTTTTTGTTTACAAAACGATGATATAACTAGAAAAAAAAAAACTTAACACAAAATTTTGTTTTTTGATTTTGTAATTTTCAAAATTTCTATTTTAAGACGTTCATGGAATGATTTATCATCCAGACAATTGCCACCACCACCATCTTCTCCTTCGTGCAATCTATATTTTGATTCTACATCCAATCAAACATCATTTCCTCCACCACCAACTATTCGAAAACCAGTTCGAATTGTTAAAGCAGTACAACGATCTTCACCTCCAATAAACGAATCAATGACAACAAATCGTCCATTAACAACATCAAAAACATATTCACTTGCTAAACCCGGTCTCTTTTCAGCTTCACCATTAAATTCTTATCAGAAAATTCCTAATAAAACTTCAAATTCAATTCGACGTTTTCAATCACGTGATGAAAATGATTTACAATTCAATTTAAAAGAATTTGCTTTACGTTATCCACATATTCATTCATTAAATGAATCTGAACGTTTAACATTATCAAATGAACATCGTCTGAGTACAGATTATACACGTGCATTATTTCCTATACCTGATCGTTTAAGACGTATACGTTCAAGACAAAGTTCAGGTGGTGATACAAGTTCAATAACAAATTCAAGTAATTCATCATCAGATTATATTCATCGAACAGTATCGAATGATAGTTGTATTTTTGATGATGATACTCTTCGACAAGCGGTAAAAAATTTTCAAAAATATTTCACTTTTAATTATATACTATTTATTTTTCTTTTGTTTTGTTTTGCAGGAAGATTTATTAATAAATTTAAAGAAACGTCAACAAATTTTAAAAGAAAATCAACGAACAATTAACGAAGAGATCGAAGATAATAAAATTCTTGGTGCTAAGGTAGAACTAAAAGAATAATTTAATAATTGATATTTTGCATTTCACATTTTTTTTCTTTTAGCTATTAAATATAATCGAATCTAATGCTGAATCAAGTGAAATTGAAAAATTTAAATTACATATCAATGAAATCGATACAATAACATCAATACTTCTTAAACTAAGTAGTCGATTAGCTAAAGTTGAAAATGATTTATTAACGGCTTCTAGTAGTAGTGAGCATATAAAGGTAAAAAATCTTAATACATTAAGTGATGAAAAAAATTTTATGTTTTTTCTATCATGTTAAACAATGAGCTCAAATCTTGACATTGATTTTAATAGTCAATGAAGGTTTCTATCTTATATATTCTATAACAAGATTTTCTATGATGGCAAGGCTTATACGAAAAAAAAACAAATACAGTAGATTTTTGGTCACAGAAACTGTTTTTCAAGCATGCCATTTTAAAAGGCACTAAATGAGAGATCACTGCATTTTCTACGACCTTGTCTTAAAAAGTTAAAAGTACCATTAAGAATGAAATTTATCAAAAGATCGATTAAAAGACGCATTAATTTGGTGTTTTATCATGCTTTTAACTTTTAAGGAAAGGTCGTAGAGAATGCACCGGTCTCTTATTTGGAGCTCTTTGAAATTGCATAGTTAAAAATAGTACCAAAAACCGGAAAAAGATATCTCGTATATTATAGATGACTATCTAATTCCGATTAGAAAATTTCATTGACAGTGTCAAAGTACGATTCGAAAAACGTTGAACCCGATGAGCTCGATCAATTTCAAGTATGGGCTCTAATTTACTATCTGGATTTGAGTGATCTGTTTAATATTATAGAAAAAAAAAATATTTTATTGTTAAACTGTTTTCCCACCACCTTATATAATGGATTTATGCAAATACTATTTTATTTTACTTATCTAGGCAAGTTTAATTGAACGACGTGAAAAAGCTCAACAAAAACATGATGAAGCTAAATCATTAAAAGATGGTATTGATCGTCGTAGTCGTTTAGTAACAAATATGCTTCGAAAGTATTTTTCTAATGAACAATATGATGATTATGAACATTTTATACGAATGAAATCAACATTATTAATGGATGCAAAAGATATTGAAGAAAATATATTAATTATTGAAAAACAAATTGAAATTTTAACTCAAATATCAATATCAGATTGTCAAGATTCACAAACATTGAATAAAACTGAAAGTTTACAAACGAATTCTTTTAAAGCTATATCGAGCACGGCCTAGTCGTTGTTTTTTTTTTCTTGTTTTTGTCTTTTATTAATAAACATTTATTTTTTCAAGTCGATAAAGTCATACTTATCTTTATTTGTCTTTACATATTCTAGACAAGCATATATACGAAATAGATATTTGTGTTTTTGTCATCTTTTCTTGTTGCATTGTTTTGTTTTTTCTTTCTCGATGTTGACCGGTTCTTCTTTTTTTGTCGACGTTTTGCGTTAAGATAAGAAAAAAGAAACTAATGTGAATAGAATTGACAGATTTATATAATAGCTTATTGCATATTATAGAAATGATGCAGATGTCAAAGATCTAAAAAGTATATGATTAGATCATAACTATTAAGAATGGGACGACAGATGGATGACTAATAAAAACCGATACCATTACATCTATTTCTAACATATTTCCTGAATAAATTTCAAATCATACGTGACAACTTGTGAAAATAGAAAAAATTCCAAGTTGACGTCATATTTATGAAATGATAAAATCGCTCCCTGGGTAGACCATCACATGATGATTGCTTTGAGATAATGAATACTTTGTTTTTTTTTTTCAAATGAATAGATAAAGAATAAATAGCAGTCGATTAATCGAGAACGAAAAAACGAACTTTGTCACGTCGTACTTCAAGTCAGTGTTAAGATGAAACGTGCCAGTTAGTTGTTAGTTACAAAAAATGACAAAGAAATGTGTCGTTTGCAATTTATCTGAATTATTTATGAAATCGAATTTTGTAGTCTTGAGCACGAATGCATGTCTAAATACGTTGAGTTGAGTCAGAATTGCATTTTTAGTGTAATACTAATGATACTTGGAAATTAGTAGCATTTCAATGTCAAAGAATACATTTGAAGCAAATATTCGACGTGAAAAAATGTTTTTTTTTTTCTAACATACAATAATGACTAATTTGTTGTTCTAAATTTACCATCTACACGTAGACTATTAATCAGAGAAATATAAAAATTGAAACTCGAAACAAGAGTATCTGAAATCTGAAACACGTAATTCTTTGTTTTTGAATGCAATTTAAAAAAAAATTATCGTTCTATTATTGCTATTTATTTCGTACGATTCAATATTTGACAAAATAAAACTATGAAAACGTCGTAAAAAACAAAAAAGGCATTTTATTTGTTTAGCGATTTGTAAATTTAATATCCAATAAACTAATGAATATACTTCACTTTACTCTACTGATCAGTATTTATTGATATTACGTTCATTTGAAAGCCTAAGATAAGCAGAAAAAAACGGTGAAATTAAACTTAGTTTCAATCATTCACGTTAGAAAAAAAGCATTCAATCAAGAAAACAACAAAGTAAGTTTAATGTGACATTTCTAGTACAATGAAAATTATATCTTATCTTTATATTTTGAAACTGACTATCATGTCTTGTCGACTATCACCTATAGAACTCGTCGTGAGTTCCCAGAGAGTAGTCTGAGATGTTTTTGGAGAGTCGTCAAGGAGCTTATGATGGAGTGTATTATTTGTATATTTCAAACTCAGCTTCAATTCAAATAAGAATTAATTTAACAAAAAATATATTGTGTTCTTTTTATGCAGATGTATCATAATAGTAATGTTAATACTAAAGTGTCAGCTTAAGAAAATTAATTCTATTTTTTTCTATTTACATTGACGTTAACAACAATTTCGACGGGAGGTAGTATTTTACGAATATAAATTATGTTTTTTTTTGTCTATCCAAATTACCTCTAACAACAACTGCAACAGTAAATACTATGTTCATAGCCTAAATTATAAATTTCGGTTAATGGAGAAAAAAAAAAAGGTCGCCTCGCCTCTCACTGACGAGATAATGTATGTGAACACAATGATAGATGATATCGTATACGATCATTTACAATATTCATGATTTTAATTTTAGTTATCTAAGAAATTCCTAAAAATTTCTCTATGGGATTCTTTGGGGGAGAATTGACTCGTGATGAATTAGTTTATTAGGCTTACCTTTTTAACAAAAAAGTATTTCAATTTTTCTAGATATTTATATTAATCACGAAGCAATAAATCTATCATATGATGTGCGATCGTTTTAGTTCTAAGCATAAACATTCAATAACATCACTGATACATCATTTGTTTCTTTCTATCATTGTTGTGACGTCATATTTATAAATATTTCATCTATATCTTCTTTCGTTCTGTTGTCATGCGTGAATGCATATGTTCTCCTTTCTTCTAGCATGTTCAAGTATATTTGTTTTTTTTTTCTGCGTCCTTCTGTATGGATCATGTATAATCTATCTTGTACTTTGTACTACCTTCTAGTAAAATTCTTCTATTTCTGAACTCTTGAATAGACGTACACATTGCTTGCTAAAATAAATGGATTTTAGATTATGCATGCACGATAAAATATAACCTCTTTCTGGCTGACAACTGTTTTGGTTGTTGACAATCTTCACAAATATCTGCTTATTGGTTTTTTTTCAAATCATTTTTATATAGAAAATACATTTAGTTTTTCTCCATAAAAAATCGAGCCTGAATAATGTTTTTCATGAACTAAAAGAATTAAACAGTTATTAAATATCTTTACTTTCCATTTACAAACAGAGATGTCTATAACGGCATGGTAACAGTACTTTTATTAAAAATTAGTGCAGTGCGGGAGAGGTTTGAAAAATAATATCGAGGCAACGATAGATTTCCAGCCGCGATGAATATCTCTGTTTACAAGATATTTATGAAGTTCAAAGATCCAGTCTAATTGCAGAAACAATGTATACAAATCAAAAAAGTCATGACTGACTTATATCTATAATGAGGGTTACTTTTCCTAATGATCAGATGAATCAATAATAACAATGCTGCTAATCTAAACAAATCATTTAACATCATCGTCAATATTCTATATGTGATATTCAACCAAAATTGTAAACTTCTACAATTTAGTTAATAATAAGTATCATAGAAATTAATCTGTAGAATATAAATGATGTTATTAATGAACTAGTAAAATAAACAACTAAGTTTTTTTTATTCATATCTCATTTATTTGAATTTTCAAACAAATATCGAACTTCTTGTCATATAGCACCGCAAACAAAACAAAACAAAAGTATTTAAGAAATTATCCGATACTCTTGGTTTATTAGTTAATAAAATAAAAAATAAAAATTTCCATCAATCAATAAATAGAATAAAAAAATAAATAATTCTTTTATTCAATTATATAATCAAACTAGAACATAATAGAAAAAGAAATAAAACTAACGGATATTCAATTTTCGAAAAATTTATAACCATTAAAATAAAGTATTGTTAAAATTAAAAAAATTTTCCATAACAAATAATGAAATCATAGAAAAATATGGTGCTTAAAATGACTAGGTAAGCCTAATAAATGAAAAAAGAACTTATTTTCTTGATAAAAAATGAGTCAATAAAATGTACATGAGAGCGATATTTTTTTTTTCTTACCCTTAAAGAAACCAAAGTTTTTTTCATCGCCAGAAGCCTTTACAATTCATTTTTCATATTCTTTTTTCATTGGTAAAGAATCCTATGAAATATTGATTGTTTTTTATGGTACGATAGAAAAAGAGTAAGTAATTCCTACTGTTGCCATTTTTTTTTTTCTTAATTTGAGAAAAATATTGCTCCTAAGGGAGATTGATCATACAAATTAATCAAGGGCTTTTTCATTCGAAAGTCACCATGATTATTATTTACATTTGACATTTGTATTAGATCAAAATTCTTGTCACGAGACAATTTTCTTTTCTCATCATACAAATAATTCTTAAATGGAATCTATTCAACAGTATCTTTGTTTTCATTTTTATACATACGTATTCTAGATTCTACAATTTATTTTCAATTAAATGAAAAGTTTTAATAAGTAAATCATCGAATAAATATCACTTTTCTCTTTCAACTCCTCATCATAGTAGTTTTTGTCTTCATACGTTCTCAACTGATTGAGAAAAAAATAATTCGTTCGGATTAGTATTATTTCAAGTGAATTGTTTCATATAGTAAAGAGCAACATGCTATGAAAATATAAAACTTATCTTATGTTATTCCTTAATATCTCTTGAGTCTTCAATCAACTAAAAAAGTTCTCAGTAAGGAATTAACACTTCAACTTCAAGTACAAAATCAATTTTGTCTTAGACTTACGAGGCATTCCCGTCAAATGATAAACCGCTTTTGTCATAAGTCCTACCTCATTAGGTATACTCTATTGAGATTAAACAAAGTCTAAGAGGATTCATGATCATAGATCTCTCTTCTTGCGTTATGGTAATTTTATTGAGTCTGTTAATAGAATATCATGGTTACACGCAGAAAATCAACTTTTTCGTTTATAATTAGTACAAATAAAAGTTTCAACAGGATTATTTCATTTTAAAAATATGCAAATTTCTAGTATATTGTGTTCAGAAATCTAAATAGAAATGTAAAATTAACTTTTTTACCGTTCAATTAAATATTTAATATTAGTGTCTGATGAAAGATGACACTAGAAAATCTGAAATTTTAGTAAAAACTAGTTCCGTTGAGAACTTAATTTGTGCAAATTTTAAGCTCGAAAGTTGATTTTGAAGTTGATCTGATTATGATTATGGCATTCTATAGAAAAACTCATCAAATTTTGCAAAAACTCAAGAAGGAAAGCTTATGAATATGAATTCCCTTAGGCTTTTTCTAATTTCAATATGGCCCTATCGGATGAGTTAAGATTTATCATTTGGATAAAACTTCATAGAAATACTTTAGAGTGATCCATTCATATTATATAGTGCAGCATCCAAATCCAATAAAACTCATATTTTACTCATATTGTGTTAGAAAAATAAAATCATCTTGTTCAATATTTGTTATGATGCAAGCGTTCAAGAGCTACCAATAGAATCTAATTCCAGTAGAAGACAATTTCTTTTCTTTATAGTTTTGTTAACACGAATAAACAAATTACATACAAGTTAATAAAATTCATATCTATTATTAAAATTTACT